GATAAAACAAATCTGATAAGAAGTTGGTGAAGGATTTTAAGATTAGAGCAAGCTTTGCAAATATGAATTTAGACGTTGGGTTTGAAAAACAATGTTTCGCATTTCTTTGAAGGAGTATTGTTAATTTGGATTTATAAACAAGTTATACTTCATAGAATCAATATAAACATGTTTTGAACGTCATTAATACAATTTATACTTTTGTTTATCTTTGCCGAAGAAAAAGAAATATATGTTCTAGTATCGTCAGCGTAGTTTTGATATTTACAAGTATTCAATTTTTTAGTGAGAAATGGGGTAATGAGGTATGAAAAACTATAAGGATCCAAGAATGGACCTTTCGGATTTTTCCTTTGATAGCTCCAAAGCATCCGATATCTCACTATCCAACATGACTTTTTGAAAGAAAGGATTTAGATAAACCAATATGCTGTAGTAATGCGTAGAGTAAATGATAACCTATGGAACGATTTCTCTGGAATAGTCAAGAAAAACTAGCATTGTGATGTTGCATTGGTTTCTATACTTTTCAATGGCAGAGTATTTCCTAAATTCCATACTGACGTAGATTCAACATCTAAAATAGGTGTGAAGTACGGCGAAAGTAGTACTGATGTTGCGAAAAATGCGAATGTACTAGCGCTTAGTTTAATATTCGAAAAACAAATTTGAGTAAGTGAACGTAAGAAAATACATTTTGTGTGGTTACAACAATTAATGAAACTGGGTATAATTTGTAAAATATCTGTTTTTCTTATAGTATACCTCTGATAAAAAATGTAGTGACATATTGAAACATTTCATACAAATGAAAAAATATAGGGTGTTCCATCTGAAAAAGTTGAATACAATTTTTACCGAGCACCCTGTATATTGTTTCCGAAAGTTGAGATTTCAGAAATTATTTTAGTGATGTTGCCTAACTATTCCTAAAAAATCTACTTAATTGCTGTAGATATGTGGGTGGTGAATTGAAAAAATATTGTCTGCAAAATAGGTTTTTCTGGAATAACTTGGCAATGCCGCAATGGAAATTCGAAAACAAAAATTTCTCAGAGACCTAAAAAAATAAGGAATCGAATGACGTATTCATATACTGGGTGTTCTATTTAAAAAAATATAACTTTAGTTGGCCACGCCCCGCTGAATTACCCAGTATGCGAGAACATAATTTTGAAAGATAGGATTTATCGATATGACTACGAAAAAAAATTGAGCAATTCGAAAAATTGTTTTCCCTGATAGCAATAGACCGAAGGAATCTTGTTGACTCACGAAGGAAAATATTTATGAAGGGACCATCCAAGAAAATAACTTAAAAACTGGATCGACTCTGAACAATAACAATGCTACTCATTGGGCACTTTCCACTTTGGGAGAAAATCTTAACAAAAAAGGTCTGCATAACTCAGACCTTAAATTGCAGGCAATGCAACAAAGGCAATGCAACAAAGATGCAGAGAGAGCTCGCCATATCTTATGCGAATATATGTGGCACTTCATTACATGGGGCAAAACATTTATGGATGAACCAAATTATATTCAGAAGAATATGACAAACATTCAACAAAGAATTTGTACGAGTTAGTAAGGAACCCAGTTTATTGAAATGGGAGTGAGTCATGAATTAAGACGGAAAGAAACGCAATAAGCTCATGAAGCTGCAGTATTTTCCGCAGACTTGAAAGGAATGACTCCTAAGTAGCAGCAGTAGTTGTTTGTTAATAAAACTCATTTCTTATCGATGTCGTTAGATAATAGATCACTCGCCAGGAAATTGCTTCTGAATTGTTTTGTATTTTGAGAGATCAATGTTTTTGAAGTTTCGGAACCTTGTTTCATATCAAAAAACTAACAAGATCACGATTACAGAGAATACGTTGTATAAGGTTTTATGGTCGGTCGGTAGCCAAGCGGTTCGGCGTGGGTGATTTGTTCACTCACTCGAATTGACTGCCGTGTTGGTCGGTGGTTCAAGCCCTAGTCTGAACGATCGATCTTCACTTGCTATCGTCCAACCCGTGTTAGGAATCACACGTTAAAAGGTAAGACCTCGTTAATCCTTAGCTTGCGCAAGTTTCGACTTCTGAGGGTTGTCGTTCGTAGGGGTGCGACAGCTGGTTAACGGAAAACAGATTTTAAATAGACAGATTATTGTTTACAAAACAACGGAACCCACTTTGAACATTTACTTAATTGGCATTTTTAATAAATTTGCAGTTCAACAAAAACCTCATTAAATATTCCATTTAAGCCAAAGTTTCACAATTATTGCTCCACCCTGTACAATTATTATTTATACCATTGGATAACATTTTTTATAGTCTTTTCAATGATGTATAACAAGTAGGGGTTTGCAATTTTAACTTTTTGTGTTTTGGTGGGTGGGGCCTAGGGGGATGATGGGGGTGAATTCTCTTTCATGTCACTTTCGTTTTCCCTTACTATCCTAGAAACGGTTTCACGGCATTTTTCGATATCAGCTTTCGTTCGTGAGATATAGCCCATTGTAAGTTTTGAAATTGACGCACTGTATATCTTTTGTTCGGTAATATTTTTTTTCCAGACTCAATTGAAGTCAATTAAGCAGGTTTGTTTTATCACAATTGAAAATAAATTAGGATATTATTGATTCAATGTATGAAATCTTCGAAAGAAGCAGATGGCGCTCTGTAAACTGTAGATATTTTTAATTTCCATATACCAAATTTTGCATGTACAAATTAATTCAAGTTCTCTTGTAGAATTGATTAGAGTAAATTTCAAGTAATTTTTGATATACATAACCTCTACCCCTGTTTTTGAGGTCGATACATTTTTGAAGAAATATAAATTAAATAAACACCTATTTTATTCTTAATATTCTCATGGAGCTGAATTTCCAATGCCATCGAAACACTTTGTTATGACTAGCTCCTTGAATCAATTGAGTTTAACAGGAATATTATATAATTAATTGAAATTAACGTTGAATGACTGAAAAGAGTATCTTGACTATAAAACAACCAAGAGAAATGAAAATAAATTGAAAAAAAAAATTTTAATCAGAAATGTGTACAAAAAGTGTGAATATTTTGTAAATCGCGACCAACATTTTTATAGTCTCTCTAATTATTTTTTCAATGTATCTTCTGAGAAATAAGAAGATCATTTTTATTTTAGTCAGAACAGGTTGAAGACAATCAATTTTCGTTATTTTTTACCACCGTTTTGCCATAGTTTGAATTATTCATGTATCCACATTCTAGAAAACAGATTATTGAACAAAACACACGCTTCTTCAGATAACCACAAAAGTAAAATTCAATAACATTGTTTCAGCTTCAGCGTAAAACTCTATCGTTCAAATTTTATGATTCCATTCCAATTTCTCTATGCTGGCCCTAATATATCGATTCCACTGTATAAGCGCAAGATTTGCATCACATTACATTTGCATCAAGTTTAAATTATGGCCTTTATCCTAATCTCGAGCAAGAACTTGGGTGGGTCTCAGAGACCATCCACGTAGTTCTCTTTCTGTCTGTCTCATTTGAAGATTAATGCCCATTTATCCTAAAACGGGATAATGCAGATCAAGAATAAATTGTACCTGAACATAGCGGAAGAAAAATTTGAAGTGTCATTCGGGACAAACGGTCGTTTGAAAAGTTTAATCTAGCCGTTGAATTGATCATTTTTCAAATCTTAAGTGGTTTTTTACGACGCTGGATCTAGAAGTCCTTAATTTTACGGCTGTTAATCTTGCTAAGAAGCCGACGATAAATTCCAATTTTGATTAACTCGATGGAATTAAGTTTCTCAATTGCTCAATTTTTGTGGAACACACACTTATCTACTGATTTGGAATGATAAATTTGATCATATTGCATGATATCGAATTAAAAATGGTGGAAAATAAACAATTCTTACAATCACAGTTGCCTGTTAGTGGAACCGTATACGCCTGATGAAAGTAACAATACAACCAATTCAATATTTGATTTTCAGTGACTCACGTAGAGGCATTTTCGAACAAAATGGTTTTTTGGCAATACAAGCTGTATATGTTTATGAAGGCGTTATGTTTTTCAAGAAATGTGAAAATATATTTTCTGATTTGAGAATTTTCCACAAGTATAACCCCGAAGACACTGTTCGGGATTATACTTGTACCAACATAATCGTGCACCCAAAGAGAGAAGTTGTCATCATAATTTGATTATGAATTATAACAGTTTACCCCCACATTTCAAGTTTATAAATAACTATTGAATTCCTGTCTCAATTATACGAATATTTACTATTGTTAGAACCCTACTGTCTCACTGATTGGCTGTCCGTACATTTACAGAACATCATCAGGCATCTAAATATATTTAATAATAATGCTGTAGGCTGTGACAGAATTATGTGAATTTTCATGTGGTACATATATGACCCATCTGTTAGAATAAACAACCTATAAGTATCAGCGATCTTAGATGAAGTCAAATTGAATATATTTAATAATAATGCTGTAGGCTGTGACAGAATTATGTGAATTTTCATGTGGTACATATATGACCCATCTGTTAGAATGAACAACCTATAAGTATCAGCGATCTTAGATGAAGTCAAATTGATCACAAAAGAACAGGTCACATTTTATGTTGATCAAAACTGAGTTCCGTCGCTAATAATTGTGAATCAATTGACGAAGAACGTGGTTTAATTGTATTTGGCACTTTGTCACCCCCATGCACCTACCATTGAAATGTACCTACTATTGAAGTTCGCCATCGCAATTATCTGATTCATGTGATTAATATTCAGTAAAGCACTCTGTATCTCCGTATACGTGTGTCATCAGTCCCGGCGGACGTTTGATCTCCATCTATGGATTGTTATAGGTTGAAGCCCGAGAAATCCTACTAATCAACAGTGTCAAGTGTACATGGAAGATGAATAGACAACTTAATGACGGCCACAGCAGGCAATGAACAATTTACACTTGCACAGGTCCAACAAGACGTACTTACCATTTGTGATGGAGATTTCGGTTTCCTGTTGATGTCAGGGATTTTTTGACAAGCTGAAACAAGAAAATATAAGTTAGGAACTATAAACTATTTTTATTTCATGTCTTCTTCACACTGTCGTACCAATGGGTTAAACAATTGAACATATTTTCGAGATTGCATACGATACTATGTAATTTTCCACATAGAAGATAAACAAAAATGTAACAAAGTTCAAACTCATATAATAAAAATGAGGAAATGGAACGTTCTATAATACATACAGAAAACCTTCAAATGTGTAGGTTGTAAAATTTCATATTATCTTTTTCATCTGAATTCTCGATTACATTAAGTTATTCATTTATTCATTTTTCATACAATTCATATTATTCCATTCTTGTTATATTCAATGCTTTAATTAGTCTGCGCCTCGTATTTTTCTGTGTTTTTCCATATTTTTTCATCGTAAGTTTACGGTGTGAATGAATGCAATATTTTTTCAAACCTGAGTTTTTCAGTTGCTGTCATGCGTTCATTAATTTATCGTTTGCTTCCATTTTTTATAATTTGTAACAGATATTTATCGAATTTCCACCTGTTGCAGTTGACATTTCCAAGGTATTCGACGGTGTCTGGCACTCGTGCCAATTGAACTTTGATGTTATGGTCTGTTAGTCTTAGATCTTTGTCTTGTCAGCGATACCTTTACCAGCAACACTGGTAAAGTCGCTGGAGCCGAATGCTCCATGTTCTCCAACCCTTTTTATAGAATGAATCATCGATTTCTACTACTCCATCTTGATAAGCCAAAAACTTTCTTTCCCAAAAATTAATTTCATATTATCTTTTTCATCTGAATTCTCGATAACATTAAGTTATTCATTTATTCATTTTTCATACAATTCATATTATTCCATTCTTGTTATATTCAATGCTTTAATTAGTCTGTGCCTCGTATTTTTCTGTGTTTTTCCATATTTTTTCATCGTAAGTTTACGGTGTGAATGAATGCAATATTTTTTCAAACCTGATTTTTTCAGTTGCTGTCATGCGTTCATTAATTTATCGTTTGCTTCCATTTTTTATAATTTTTAACAGATATTTATTGAATTTCCAGCTGTTGCAGTTGACATTTCCAAGGTATTCGACGGTGTCTGGTACTCCTGCCAATTGAACTTTGATGTTATGGTCTGTTAGTCTTAGATCTTTGTCTTGTCAGCGATACCTTTACCAGCAACGCTGGTATAGGTATCCGAATGCTCCATGTTCTCCAACCCTTTTTATAGAATGAATCATCGATTTCTACTACTCCATCTTGATAAGCCAAAAACTTTCTTTCCCAAAAATTAATCACTCCTAAAAAATATAACCGAATTCGAATCATCGATCTATTGGAAAAGACAGTTAGCACAAATGTCTCTTCAATCCAGTTGGATGCTTAAAAATTACATGCCGATACACATATTCGGCGACAAAAGGTAATATATCTCAATGAAAATGTGAAAAAAAATTGACTTGGTATGACAGAAATCAGGTAGAATTCAATGAAAACTCAGACATCCGTTTTCTCTAAGAAGGTAACTTAGCCCACTTTATTTCGCTCATCGCTTCAAGCTTCAACTTTTCAAACCTCGAACTATACTTTCAAAAAATATACCCATTTGGAGAACAGTGTCCTTGCAGAATGAACTTCCAGTTGAATATAAACTACAGCGATTCAAATCGCTGTGGACCTGTTCCATCGCTTGTTTTTATAGTTGGAGTTGATAATATCTACGTTATAACGGTTGTTGACTGCGATTTATTTGATGTAACTTACTTCTCTCTGGAAATTACTTTCCGACAGTGGAATATTCAATGTGAAGCATAATATTGAATGCAGCTAATCTGGTCATGGTGTTTGGATGAATTATGTATGACAATGTCTGTATGAGATGGTTTCTAGAAAATGCAAAATCATGTTTATTATTGATTTTTTTGATAGTTAAGTTAAGGTAATTCATTTAATTATTTACCCCCCTTTCAGTAGTGAATTTTATTGTCAGGTGAATGGAATTGACATATTCAACAAACTCAGCTAATTGCCTAGCTGTCCCAGTAAAACAGACTAAGATATCATCTACGTATCTGTACCAGTACCATAAATTGTTAGTTAACTGTTTTGATTGGTTTCTGGGTTTTGCCGTGGTCTTCTTTGGTTATATTCTCCAAACCTTTCAACTGCAACTGCGGCAGTCATCTTCAGTGGCGTGGTCGAAGTACTTTTCTTAACATGTCATCTGACAGTTGCAGTTGAAATGTTTGGAGATTATAACCAAAGAAGACCACAGCAAAACACGGAAACCAATCAAAGTATTGACGTCAGCCGTGAATGCCTATACCCCTATGTTTATTATGAATGTCATTCCCTATGTTATTCACGAAGATTTCAGCCAGCAAAGAACTCAACGGTTTTTCTAAGACAAATACAAGCACTACAGGAAAATCCTTAAGGCACTCTAAGAGCAGTGCCTGTGCGAAAGTAGTGATTCACATTGGATTTGAATCGCTGGAGATTGAATCCATTTGGAAAAAACTTCTCAAGAAATGTATTCCACATAAACGCAGTTCTCCAAATGAAAGAGTTCTCAAACAGTGAAGTTTGAGATGTACTGAGTTGAACCTCAAAACGATGAGCAGCCATTGTCCGTCGCGTATTTCTGATATGTACAACTCTTGGTGGAATCAAGCGTGCCAGACCATCAAGATTGCAAGTGATGTTCGCGTCTCCAATCAGGAGGATATCTCTTTTCTGGATGGAATCCAGCACCTTCAGGGTATGCTTAGGGGCGGAGCTCCATATACATGAGAACAATATTCCAAAGATGATCTGATCTGAGCTTTATAAAGTATCAAAAGTTGCTAACGTGTGTACAGTTTTCTGCTTCGGAACAGTGTTCCAAGCTTTTGAAAAGCAGCCTCTGCAATTCCAGCGACATGATAGTGCCAAGAAATATTGGTGTCCATTTTAACCCCCAACAAACTTATCGAAACAGAAAGCGGAATTTTCTGACCTGACATTATTATATCCGGTTCGGAGACATTTATTTTTTTGGGGAAAACCGATGCCCAATTCGAAATCACTTCTAGATCCTCATTAAGATATGCAACCTCCTGCTACCGGTGAAGATGTGCATGCGTAGCCAATGTCCTGGAGTCCAAATGGAATGACGAGACAAGTGTGCTGTTGTCAGAAAAGCAATATATTGGATTCATGGTTTTTTCCAATAAGCCTTCACCCATTATTAGTCGTTCGCTGCATGAATAAAACTTTTCGTTGATTTGTATAATCTTGAATGTAATCTAAAATTTTTTGTTTTATCTCTGTAGACTTTCAATCTAGTCTATGAAGTTGACGGGAACTGTAGTTGGGTAATTTAAATAAATGTGCACTAAAAACTTATTCGAGTAGGATTAATGTGATCTTTATGTGGTGCGGTTCATTGGTGTGAAATATATTTTCCAAGTCCTATATTTCCAAAGCTTTCCATAACTATAACTTATATGTAAAAACTTCACATGCACAATAACCAAATTTCTTAAAACAGATAATGGCTCAAAATATTATACCTAATGAGGTCGGCGATTACTCATACTTATACATCTCAACAGAATGATGTTTCTGAAAGAAAAAAAAACAGAACGCTGAAAGAAATCACCAGATACCAACTGATTCAAAACTAACTGAATTCTGGAGAATGAATATCCAGAATGAATATACAGCACATTTCAAGAATAATATATGGGATAAGTCAAAGGGGGAATATTTTTAAAAGAAATGAAATTTTGGCTTTTCTTCTAGTTTGTTTCTGAAAGTTACTTCTTTGCATGATCTACACATCTATGTATAGAGTTACCTTTTTGAAATTGATAGCTTCCTTCCTTTCTTTGGAAAATTCCCACACTTTTTTGTATAAAGATGGAGAAGTAGTAAGGCAAAACCTATCTTTCCCAAATATTTGGAATATTGATGATAATGGGAAAAATAGAAAAGTTATTTAAAATGAACTAGTTCTCCGAACTAATTATCAAGCTGATGGAGCCTGATGAGAGCAGGCTCCATACGATTGAAAGTAGCACTGTCTGCAGAACTTCGACTTACCGTTCACCAAATGAATGGGTGTAATTGTGTGCGTGAATGGAGAAATAGAAAGAGAGTTTATGGAAATTCACAAATAACTGGGTACAATTTCAATCGACATATAGATGAGAGTGAATAAAGGAATTCTGAAATGGTAAAAACGTCTAAAAAATGGTAGATGACTTCATGTCGAGTTACAAAAATTATATTTGACTCTAATTGGATTAAACATCGTTGATTACATAAGTGCAACATATAATTCAAGAGTTAACAAAACTAGAATCAAAATTGTCATCCATTTTCTAGACGAAAGATCTTGGACCGGCCAAATACTGCCTTGGAATCGAGTACAGCCAAAATTGAGAAGACGAAAAATATCAATGCCAGAAGAATTTCATACCAACCGTTCTTCTAATTTTTGAATAGTAAAATTGCAAGCAGAACCATTGAACCCCTCTTTTTGCTAATGAAGATTGTTTTCATCAGAGGCGTTGAATGAAGAAGTGATGTACAAACATCCTCACCAATTCTAATAGGCTTTCTGATGTGTTCAGTGAAATCAACAGAGTCAGACATGGCATATACAGTGAGTATGTTGAGTCAGTTTATTCAAAATTATGGTATGCATCACTGAAAAACAACGAAATGAGTTCTCCGCTATTTGAAGCTGATTTTTTCTTGACTCTTCAAAGAACACAAAGAACAGACAAACTTTTGATTGGTTCTGCTGATGCCGACTAGAGCTTTTGCATTCAAAGTCGGTATTCGTATACTAGATATATGTCTGAGCTCTCACGTGATGCTGTTAGTTGGGAGGCTCGAAAACAGAGAATGGTAGTCTTATCCAGTATCGAAGTCGAATATATAGCATTAACAGAAGCAGCCAAGGAAGCAATTTATTTCAGAAGCTTCCTTCACAAACTGGGCATTGATAGTATTTACAGTAATAAT